CTGAACCACCTTCTGAACCACCACCTGAACCACCACCTGAACCACCACCTGAACCACGATCATTTTTAAACAGCACCACCTCGTGGAACTTCGTCCTGACTGTGGGAAAGGGGAGCCACTGAACAAACATGGAGCCTGAATGGAGCCTGCTCCTGGGTCAGCGAGCAGCACCGCCTGCTGCTCCCCCCCCACCAGCACGGAGCAGGCCTGGGGGGGGCAACAGGCAGTGGGGCGCCCCCCCCCAGGAACCCGCTCCTCTTGCACGCCGCCCTAACACCCCCCTCAGGGATCCGGTGGAGAAAGGGTTTTTCAGCGCGTTAGAGCAGCCCCCGTCAGGGGAAACAGGCGGGCCGAGCTCTGAGAGCTGATGCTGCTCCCTGAGTGGACAGATGGAACTCAGGACGGGGAGCTCTGCCCCCCACCAGCAGCCCAACGGCCCCCGCCGGTCAGAGCAGGAGACTCAGTCAGTTCAGCTCCATGCCACCATCAGCAGCCCCCCCCCAGCCCCAATCCCTGTGTCAGGATCCATAAAAACATAGCACCGACCTCCATTTTCTACATGAATGTGTGTCAACAGAAAGGTGGAGCTTCACCTCCGGTGACCATGGTGACTAACGTCCACTAACCCTAACCCTAATGTCCCAAAATACAAACTGACCACACAAATAAAGGACTACATGAATGGTGAATCATTAGCCGGAGGAGGTGATGCTCATCGGTCACCAGGCTGGGTCCGGTGGTCCGGTCTGAGGAGGACCAGAGTCTGTCCTGTGGTCCGGTCTGAGGGGGGCCGGCCTGCTGGACCTGAGCTGACCACATGACAGCTCCGGGCTGAGGGGCAGCAGCTTAGGCAGCCTTTCATGTTGCTCTGTGGCAGCTAAGCTCAGTCACAATGTCGGGTCATGCGCCTGTGGCCCCCCGGCACACACACACCACCTCTGAGGGGTCCCAACAGAACCCGGACCGGGCTGGACCGGGTCTGGGATCTGCTCGGCTGCATTTCCCCGGACCGGTCTGGTCCAGGGCCGTCCCGGGTCTGTGTTTGGGTCTGGGTCTGGGTTTGGGTCTGGGTCTGGGTTTGGGTCTGGGTTCTGTTCAGCTGCTGTGTCCAGCTGAGCCGAACCCAGGTCGGTCCAGGTCTGGACCGGACCAGGTCTGGGTTTGGGTCCGGGTCTGGGTTCTGCTCAGCTGCAGTGTCCAGGGCCGGCCCAGTCCAGGCCTGTCCGGGTCTGGGTTTGGGTCCGGTTTCTGCTCGTCTGCCGTGTCTAGCTGAGCAGAACCCAGACCCGGACCCGGACTGGGTCAGGACCGTACAGGGTGTCCAGCTGGGGGGCTCCAGCACTGGGCAGGCAAACGGGACCTCCAACAGGACAAACCGCTCCAACTGGTCACCCTCACGAATGAGGTCAGCAGATGCCCCCACAGCTGGACACCCCCCCTCAAACCCAGTGAGCAGAGCCAGAGCCGCGGGGGGGGGGGGGGGGGCCCCCCTGCCCAGCTCCCCGCCGGGGATGACGGTGTAGTGCTCCGTGAAGGGCTCGCGGCTGATGGAGGTCTGGATGTCGGACAGCAGGCCGCCGTTGGCCCGGCTCGGCCCGGCCCGGCTCGGCTGGACGCAGCCCCGGCTCCTGGAGCTCCCCACGCGCGGACACTCGGGGATCATGGCTCAGTCTGAGCGGAGAGTGGACGCTCGCGAACAGCACGAGCGGAGAACGAGGCGGCGGCGGGAACCCGGAGCCACGCGCACAGCGGAAACAGGAGAAAGATAAAATAACTGGCTGGTCGCTCAGCATTTACCGGGAACCGCCGAGTTTCAGGTCCAGTTTAATAAGTCAAAGCGGCCGCTCATGCTGCCCACGCTCCTCTGCACGCGCCTCGCTTCTCACTGACAGCGGAGAGTCGCCCCGCTCAGCCACCAGGCTCTGTAGCCATGGCAACCAGTGTGGATTGACAGGGGGCCTGACCAATGAGAGTACGCGACAATGATCCACCCATCTACTCCATCTATCTATCTATCTATCTATCTATCTATCTATCTATCTATCTATC